TGCCTGTGATGGTAATTGCTGAGTGATCTCTCCCTGTCCTTATCTCGACCTATGAGCCTTTTGTCATAATTTTCTCTCCCCTGTCCATCTGAGGAGGGGAGTGATAGGGCGGCTTTGGTGGGCACCTGGTGTCCAGCCAGGGTCAACCCACCACACCATGGAAAGGACTTGTAGGGTAATTAACAACTTCAAAATAAAAATCTTTATGAAAAATGACCTGGAGTTTCAGTTTCAGAAAGTTCCATTTCAGTGAAGTTCTTAGCTACAACATGTAACATAAAACCAGTCATTTTTAGCATGTGATAAAAAAAATTAAGACGTTAAAAATATTGCAGGAAATGTGAAAAAGAATGAGAAAAGACAGATCTGCTATATTTTGGGGGATAGTTCTTCATTGCTAAAGGTACCTTACAACTTATACATAAAAAGTCACATCGTTTTTCATTGTATTATGTTTATCTTCTCAATAATCATGCTAAGATGTTGTTTCTTTTTCTGTAGTCTGTGTGAATTATAAAACAGTTTTTGTTTCTAGCTACTTTCCCAAATGATTAAAAGTGTTAAATAACAACCAAAACATTCTCTGCTTACTCACAGAACTGTTTGCCAAATCAATTTCCATACATAAAAGAAAAAATAAGTTAAAGACAACATAACCTATGCATTTATTGGTTTGATGGATTTGGGTGGTAAGTGAAAATGATATCTAATTTATGCAATCCAAGATGATTCTACAATAAGTGTGATGATTGGAATTTTTTAATTACTTCCAAGGAAGTAATTGGAAATGGAATGGAATCCTAAATCTCTGTTAGGAGAATCCAGTGAAGGAAACAGTAGAATAGCAGGAAAAACAATGTAGAATTGTGTATGTTAACTTGTTAAAATCTGAGAAACAGAGTAGACTTAAGTTCACTAAGAATTTTGATTCATGACTGAAGTGGAAAATAATGAAGAAACAAAAATACAGGCACAGAGCAAACACAGCCAAATAGAATCATAGAATCATAGAATCATAGAACCATAGAATGGTTTGAGTTGGAAGGGACCTTTAAAGGTTATCTATTCTAACGCCCCTGCCATGGACAGGGACATCTTTCACTAGATCAGGTTGCTCAGCCCTGTCCAGCCTGACCTCGAACACTTCCAATGATGGGGCATCCACAGCTTCTCTGGGCAACCTGTTTCACCACCCTCATTGAAACAAAAATTCTTCCTTACGTCCAATCTAAATCTACTCTCTTTCAGTTTAAAACCCTTGCCCCTTCTCCTGTCACTACAGGCCCTGGTAAAAAGTCTCTCTCCATCTTTCCTGTGGGCCCCCTTTAAGTACTGATAGGCTGCTATAAGGTCTCCCTGGAGCCTTCTCTTCTCCAGGCTGAACAACCCCAACTCTCTCAGCCTTTCTTCACAGGGTAGGTGCTCCAGCCCTCTAATCATTTTTGTGGCCCTCCTCTGCACCCGCTCCAACAGGTCCATGTCCTTCTTGGGGTCCCAGAGCTGGATGCAGTACTCCAGGTGGGGTCTCACGAGAGCGGAGTAGAGGGGGAGAATCACCTCCCTCGACCTGCTGGCCACGCTTCTTTGGATGCCGCCCAGGATATGACTGGCTTTCTGGGCTGCAATTGCACACTGAAATAAATTCCCAATGTCAATAATCCAGGTTACTCTAGTTTTGATACTATGTTCCCTTATGGCAAGCTATTGGACCACTTTAATAATCCCTGTAAATTAGGCAAACTAAAAGCAGAAAAAATTACAGCAAAGACATGACGAGAACAGTTTCAGTCTTAAAATTACTAATGTGCATCAGAGCCTTACTAGCACGAATCTAATTATCTATTTTCTTCATTCACCAAGGTTTTAGGTTATTAGTCCAAAGTCAGGAAATGGAGTATCTGTCTTTATAACAGATGTCACAATCACATCAAAATCCATCCAAAGAGTTTGGAAATGTCAGTACAGAAATGATAATGGAGCCTGGCAGGAAGCTGTAGTCATCATCATTTGTATGACAAAATTCATCTTTCCCAAATCCATAAAGGTATATCTATACCATCAGGCATGTATAAGCTCTTTATACTGCAATCATAAAGTAATGAAACTGACAATTTTCTTACTTGAGATTTCAGTGCCTGAAGCTGAGTTTCATAATTCTGAGCCATTTTGTATTTAGTTTTCTGTAAGTCTTCCAGTTTCTGTCGAAGTAGTCCCACCTACAGTTAGAATAAGCATTCAAATTTACCTTTCCTGGTGTTCCAAAATATGTCATTTTTTGAATAGCCATTTGAAAATTTGAAAGAAAACTGTTGCTTAAAAGATAGATATTAAAAATATATATTCATTCAGTAACAATAATAAAACTGAATACCACAAACCCAGATTGTATCAACATCAAGTTAGGGATTTTATAGTAAAAAATCTCATTGTATGCTTATGTTATGATTTAATGATAATACTGTATGACTCTGTCATGAAAGACCATTTAATGAAAGCACTTCTGACCCAACTATACGAATGAACTGTTGTGCCCCATTGTGAAAATTTTGCTTGAATGGCTTATATGATCATATAAATGACTTTCAACTACTTATATAAAATTATCGGGAGACACTGTAGACTCATTTCAGCTCCCTAAGTACAGTGCCATTTGAGATATCTTGAATTATCTGAGAGTTTCACAGAGATCTGAGAAATATGACAAAGAGCATACATGACACCTATGTTTTTCTGGAGAGGCAGCTGGAAGCTAGGTGAGATATGCTAAAATATTTCAGATAACATCTCTGCACAGGCAAATAAATTGATGCTTTAAGGATTGAACAGCCCAATTACTATCTTGGCTCCTCTGACTGCAATGACTAAGGGCAAGTTCCTAATTGCTCGTTAGGGAGAGTTACTTCATTTTCAAAACTCCCACTGGCAGTTTGGACACCTAGCTAACACAAGGATGCCCATGTGTAAACACCTAACTTCAGATGTCTTGAACTAGAACTGAACGCTGTGCTAAGATTTACTGATGCTTCTGAATGAATATTCAGCAGACAAGACTGTGAAGTATGGACAGCATCAGGTACACCGGGGCTTTCACTTTGATAAGTAAGTTTAAGTGGTAATACAATTAGAATCTTCACTATTAATAATAAAATGATCATACAAAGACAGTATAACATGTAAAATAATAAAAATCAGGTATAAAAAGGAATTACAAAGACATAATTTTGTGAAACTTTTTGCACTGTACATTTCCATTTAAAATTTCTGATGAAACTAGAAGTGTTGGCATTTAGAAAAAACATCAAATTATCTTTTTACAGCTAAACTGAGAATATTTAATTTAGACTTTAGGGAAATAGAAGAAATGTGAGACTTTCAATAACATTTTTACAATCACTTTTCAGAACAGAAGCACACCTTAAAGCAAAAACTAAGGATAATTAATGACCTTTAAAGGGTGTTTGGTGTTTTACATGATAGAACAAACAGGTCTCCTTATAGAGCATTTAGAGCATACTATTAACTAACTCCCAGAATAATACTTTCTTTATAGAATGTGATATTCTTAAATACCTCTTGACCTTTTTGATCCAGTTTGCTTTGGGCACTTGCTAATTCTTTATCCTGGATATCCATCTTTGCTTCTAAAGTTTTCATCTTCCTTTCCCATTCCACTTTCTTGCTGTTTACCATGATGTCAATTTGATGCACTAATTCCTGAAGTTCAGCTTCACATGGAGAAGCTCTAGTAATATAAAAAAGAGATTTATTTTTTAAAATAAAGACTAAGGGAGAAAATTTTTTTTTTACATTGCTAAGATTTTATTTTAATTCTGATGGAAATAACCAGAAAGAAAGAAATGGAAAAGCTAAATGATGCTTTCAAATGTAGGTGGAATCTCACTTCATCTATCTTAAGTTTGCCTGAAGTCAAAATCAGAGTATTTAGCATATTCTGGACTTTTTGCCTAGCTTAAATGCTGTTTGATATCCTCTCACTCTTTCAGGGGTGAACTGTCAAATGAGCCTAAGTTGAGCTGAAAGTATCCGGGCCCAAACCTCAGTGGACAAGAGTAGGAGAAGATGAATATTATTAAGCTGCTTATAGGCACAGGATTTCCCACTAAGGGCACATAATGATGGAAGCAGAGTTTGTTGGAGGAAGTTATTAAACAGCTGGCTTGAAAGCTAGCCACAATTCTTAATTGCTAGTTCAACTTTTACACTCTGTTTTCCCATTCTCTTTGTGGAAAATGGACTTAAATAACAAGGCAACTTGTATTATTACAAGAAGCGAGTGTATTTTGAAAAAGGACTTGTCTTTGGGGGACCATGTGCTGGATTTTATAGAGACTTGTACAATATCTGCAACATAAACATTAGATTTTTTCCCAAACTTCTGAGGTTAAATTCGGAATACATCCCTTACACTACGACTTCATTGTCAGTAATAGACAATGTTTTACACTGTTGCTTTAGGAATATAACATGTCCTAAGTAGCAAAATAATGACATATTGTTAGTTTACGGTATATTAGAAGGGCCATCAGAAACTGAAAGCAGTCAAAGTGGCCCTCTTAGTTGCCCTCTTATACAGCCCCTTATATAGGAGCAGTATAGTAATTTAAAAAACCGAAACTTCGTCTGGACAGTGTCAAACAATGTTTAAATCAGCTGATGTACACCATTTAACAGATATTTACAAAGTATCTGAACTTTCGTACAGAGATTTCTTTATTCCATATCCATTCCAACTTTGAATTTGATGATGAATATAAGAAAAATTTGAAATAAGAATGATACAGATTATAGAAAATTTGGCTGTGGATACTTTTTTATGCAAGAAATTGCATAATTCTTTCTACACTCTAAAACTTTTTATTTGTAGAAATGACTATTTCACATCAAAATTATACAGTCCTTCTAGGGTATATGAGATTTTTTTCTTGAAGTATTTTGGAGAGTTTATTGTCCAGTTAACCTCAATTGTTTTATGAACTGATAGCTTCTCTCAATCTGTAAATTTACAGCTGGTATTTCAGATTTGTAATGATTTATTTGAAAGTCAGAATCTTTCTAGAACTCACGAATCTTTTCAACTTTCAGAGAAACATTCCAGTTTGAAAAAAATTTTATATCATAATTAAAGTGTTTATTGAAATGTTCCTGAACATTTTATTTTCCTGACTTACTGCCTCTTATCCAGTTAACCTAGGATTCTAGGGCTTGAGAAAAAGATAAAGGAGATGATGTACACTCCTGCCTAATTCCTCCCCATAAAATAAAGAAGGGGAATTTTATTCCATTAACTGCTTTTGGACTGTTACAAAGAAGAGTTAGCTATTGAACAAATTGCTTAACTATGTATATGAGCCCGTACATTTTCTATAAAACTTAATTTTCATTGAGTCATATGGAAAAAAATATCAGACTGTTTTCTATCACTATGATTAATTACACATCACCAAAAAAAATCTGTCATTTGTCAACCGTTAAAGACTTCAATTTGATCTCAGTTTACTTAAATTGAGATATGAGATCAGAATTAGTTAAGACAGTATTTTTGAGAAAAGCCTTTAGCAGACTTACCACTGTAATGCTTGCTTTGTGTCATTTATTGAAATAAAATTATTTTTATCAACAACTTTTTTTTTTTTAAATACCACAACTTCTAAGCATTTTTAGTATGTTCAGAGCTCATAGAATGTTGGATGTAGATATTTTTATACTAAGTACCAAAAGAGGCATGTATGTCACTGGAGTGAAGAAAAACCTTTCACTGACTGTTCTTAGGCAGTGGAATAATGTGTTGAATTTTTAACTTCTGAGGAGTAGCACCTCTTGCATTTCACTTTCTGTAAACATTTACTTTCCACACAATTTTTTTAGTGGCATCTGTTATCTGCCTATCCTGTTCTCATATGAGTTAACTGTTGATAAACTTTTCTACTTCTTTTCCACTTCTTTTTTAGAGCTTTTTTTATACCTTTCTTGTTTCCTGTTCCAGTTTTAATTGCTTTACATTTTTTTTCTAAATAAGAGATTCTATTTATAAATTACCCTAATATACAGCTTTATTACTTTCTTTAGAAGACATACTTTTATCTTATCTTTATCATATATTGGAATGTATTGAAATGTGTCATCTTTAGTTGTTGCAACTTTATCTTGGCCATGAAAAAAAAAATCTCAGTTAACATCTTCAAATTATTCTTTTCAATGGTATGATCTGATCATTGTGAAAATTTCTGTATTTTTCCCTCTGCAACTATTTAGAGATTAGTGTATCCAATTACTGCTGTATGTAAATGAAGGTACAAATAAAACCAATGTTGTTTCTCCACTGTCAACTCCCTCTCCCTCATCTCAACCAGTTATACTGTTAGTAAACTGTTAGTGGTACACCTGCTTTCTCTTCACTGTTTTCATCTGTCATAGTGACTATTCATTGTACAACTGAAGTTTAATCTGCATTTAACTTCCATTTCCTCATACTGTTGCATAATTTTCAAGTCTTTCTTTTTTTGGTTTTGACTAGAAGCCTATATTGAATTTCCTGTTGATAAAACCATCAATTGTATTCTTTCATAGGTTTGTTAACTATCCCTCCTGATATATAAACTGATGCAAAAAATGTATTGTAACCTATTACTTTTCATGATAATAAATTTAGCCTCCTGATAAACAAGTTTTGTCACTAAAGATACTCTAAGAATGCTGTGACATTGTTTTGAGTTATGACATGTTCCAATTTCCTTTTAATAATATTATTTATCTCACTGACATTTTCCCTAAAAGTGATAGCCACTGGTTATAATTTAATTGGTTCTTTAATTTATAAAAATTTAAAAGCTATGTGTTCTCCTGACTGCTGATGGTACACACCTCTGTGTGCACCTCTATATGCATATAAAGTGCCTTTATGATCGCTAATCAGTTTGCAGTCATTCTAATATCTCTATGGCATGATGGTTTGTTAAAATGAGCGTACCTATTTCCTTAAAATGAGCATAGCTATTATTTTATGAAATAACTGCCATAGAGACAGTCACACAGAGACAAAAGATGGTGCAGCATCTGAATGACGTAGCAGCAACCTACAAAAGGGTTAATGATAAAAAGCACAGCAGTATGCCTGTAACCGCTCCATCCTAGGAAGCGTTGGAGAGGATTTCAATACCCAAAATTAGCACAGAATGCCATTTTGTGTCACGAACATTACAATCTGGCATATGTTTTTGGGGGACATCGCAACCAAGAATGTGCCAAGCAATTAGGAACTCTACTTCAGCAGAACTGCACTTAACCAAACACAAACTGAGCCATGCACTCAGAGGTAATATCCCTATTGCCAGTAAGCCTTCAACTACCGAGCGTGCTGCCAGCACATTGCTGAAGAACAGTAAGCTAACTAACATGCTCCTCTTATGTAAATGGCTGTGCAAACAAAGCCTTAATGTAAGCAGATGCTTTTATTCCTGGTAGTTGATACCACCATCTTGTGTGAATGCTAGCATGAAAATGCTTCCTTTCTTTTCTGGTAATCTTTCACATCCCAGCTGTTCAGCCAACTCTCCGAATGTCTGCCCTCCTAGTGCCCTGAAGTCCCCCGTCTGTAGGTTGTGCTCTGGGTCAAGTGCTGGTCTCACACGCTCTGCGTTTCACATCATGCACGCTCAACTTCTGACTGCACTACACTAAAAAAAGAGTTCCTTAACATAGAACCATAGACTAGTTTGGGTTGGAAGGGACCTTTAAAGGTCATCTAGTGGATGGATGGATATGTGTTTATTGAATATCTTTTTTTTGGTGCTTAAATGGTGCATATCTCTTGTTTGGATAATTATTACAGGAAATTGGAGTAAATTTGTTAGATTTACAATATCATAATTAAAACTCAACATGATTTTTTTAAAGTAAAATTCTTTAAAACTTTTTTAATATCAACAAACGCTTGAAACTTTAACATTATCAATGTTAAGCCTGGAAAGGCTTTTTAAATGCACACATAAATCTTAATGCCTTTTTAATGTTAGAACTGTTAGCAATGCCATTTTAAAATTTAATGAGTCATAGAATGATAATAACCAAAGTGCAAGCAAGTAGTACACTGTGATGTACATATCACAAAACAAAAATACCCCCCCTCCCAAGTGCCTGAAACTAATCTCAAAATAGCATTAATGATGCAGCAAACTTTGATTCTCTCTGGGTGGAATATAAAATGGGATTTTAAAAACAGAAGACGAAGCGATATTGCATCAGGACTACCTTTTCTTTGATATTGCTATAAGGACCTGTGCCCTTCCAGCCACATGTAATGTCAGGTGGCAACACTTTGGTGAACCACCAGCAATGACTCAGCTATCTGATTTTAGCCTTCAGAAATACTTACTTTCTTTATTCTGTGTCACATGGATCATCTAAATATTGTTATGCAAGTGCAAATGCAACCTCTAGCCTGGATCATCAGGTTACCCTTTCAGATCCACCATGGCTCACATCCTTCCCTCTTACGTTTCACCTGTCTCTTTCAGATCATCCCCAAAAGGCAAGTTCTGCAGCTGTTGCTGGAAAATTTTCTCTTGACAGTTCTTGCATGTTTCTCAAACTCAGAACCACCAATAGATAAAAGGGAGCTGTTGAAGGAAAAATCCCTTCTGAAACAGCTGCTCAGTCTATCTCCACCTTCTCCGTCTACTTCCTTCCCTAGATCTTCTAGGTACACCTGCAGCTGAAAAAGGAAAGCTGTACCTGAAGCTGTAGATTACTGCTGCTTGTTCTACCAGAACTACTCCGTGTCATGGCTGTGGCATTACAAACAGATCTGCATAAAGATGTATTTGGCAGTTTTCCCCACCTACTAGCATAGGGGTATTACTAGCTGCTGTAACTATTATTTTAGTCCCTTCAGTGTTTTGAAGAGTGCTAACTATCCCCCTCAGAATATGACCAATCATATGGTATCACAATCATGAGAATTTATTTTGATCACTGGATGTGGAATGCAAAAAACTCTGCTATCTTTTGTTTAATATGCCATCAGGTAAGCAAACACACAAAGAACAAGTTTTCCCATAAAACGAAGAAGTATACATATGTTTTTTTATCCATATGCATTCAGCATTCCCACTTCACTGACTGTATACATCAAATGGATTCTTCATACATGGAAGCAATGACTTGTACTTAAGCAAGTGGCAGCTATTTTTTTTTGGTTGCATTTACTTTGAAACAGCTCAAAACACTTAAAAGTATCTCATTTTTAAAGTGACGTAGGCAAGCTCTTAGTCTTCTTTTATTCTATTTCCATTGGTGAAAATAGAGATGATTCATATTCTGCTGTCATTAATAACTATTTATCTCCATGTAAAATCTAGATGTTTCCAAATTTAGACAAACAAAAACCCAGATATTAAGTTTTACAAACTCCAGGCCTTTATCTTTGTCACAAATGATTTTTGCACGAGTTAGACCTTTCTCGCTCTATTCATCTGCCTTTTGCTTTGGAGTTCTGCACAGATCTGTATTTTTCTGATTGTTTCCTAATAGACATAGAAAGAACACTATTGTCCATATAATTTAGAATAAAGTTATAATTTAGAAACTGATATTTTAAGAAATGATTGGTTCATATTGTCAGTCTCTACTTCATGCCTTCTTCTCTTATTACTCAGGTTTGCTGACAAATAGGAAAATATCATAGAATCATAGAATAGTTTGGGTTGGAAGGGACCTCTAAAGGTCATCTAGTCCAACCCCCCTGCCATGGGCAGGGACATCTTCAACTAGATCAGGTTGCTCAGAGCCCCATCCAACCTGACCTTGAATGTTGCCAGGGATGGGGCATCCACCACCTCTCTGGGCAACCTCTGCCAGTGCTTCACCACCCTCAGCGTAAAAAATTTCTTCCTTATATCTAGTCTAAAGCTACCCCCCTTTAGTTTAAAGCCATTCCCCCTTGTCCTGTCGCAACAGGCCCTGCTAAAA